GAAAGAGAATTAAGCGTGGGGAGAGGTGGACCAAAGGCTGGTCTTTTCCTGTCATCCTAATAGTAGTATTAACCTCTAAATCTCTAAATAGCATATTTAAATAGCACCCCTTGAATTTTTCACTTTGAGACACTGTCTATCAAGTCATCTCTTTTATATCATCTCTCACTCCTTTCCCACCTCCTAGGTTCTCTCTCCCAAACTTCCCCCAACTCATCACTTTTAGATATTATCTACTGCTGTTTATCACACCATGGCAGCTTTCTTACACCTGCCTTTCCTGCATCCTGGTCTCATAATTGTATCTCATTTGGGAGCTAAATCTACATTCAGTACTTTCATTTTTATAATAATGTATGGTTTTTTTTAACTACAGATCAAGTAGTACCCTCCAATTCCACATACTTTCTTTTTTTTTTAATTAATTAATTAATTTATTTATTTATTTTTCGCTGCGTTGGGTCTTCACTGCTGTGCGCAGGCTTTCTCTAGTTGTGGTGAGCTGGGGCTACTCTTCGTTGCAGTGTGCTGACTTCTCATTGCGGTGGCTTCCCTTGTTGCAGAGCACGGGCTTAGTTGCTCATTGCTTAGTTGTTTCAGTAGTTGTGGCACACGGGCTCAGTAGTTGTGGCTCATAGGCTCTAGAGTGCAGGCTCTAGTTGTGGCGCACGGGCTTAGTTACCCTGCAGCATGTGGGATCTTCCCGGACCAGGGCTCGAATCCGTGTCCCCTGCATTGGCAGGCGGGTTCTTAACCATTGTGCCACCAGGGAAGTCCTCCTCATCCTCTATAATACAACTTTGTGTTTTTCTGTAATTTACAAATTGCTTCGTTTTTTCATTTGCTTGCTTTTCTTAAAAGTCTGACCAAGTCTTCTAACATCCTTCAACAGCTCTGTGATCTCCTTTTAATACAGTCTCCCCGAGGTTCAAATCCATCAGGTATTTTACCAGTTTTTTCATTTTCCCTGAGCCCTGGGGAGATCTCTCCTGGCCTCCTCTCCTCTCTAGTCTACACTGGTTGCTCCCCAGCCCTGTAGCACAGCTATCATCCTGGGGCTTCCCTTCTTCACCACCAGTTTTAGAATTCACCCGTTTGTCTCCTGTGTTGGACTCTGTTTCCCAGATCCCTTCCTCTTTCTTGAGTTACTCTCTCATCTTAGTGGAACACAATTTTCCATAGCTTTCTGAATTTTTTGAGTGTTTGTAGGTCTGCACATGTCTTTATTCCGCCCTTGCACTTGACTGATAGTCTGGCTGGATGTATGTCAGTCAGGATGGGCTATGTTATGCTGAGGTAACAAACATCTCCAAAAATCTCAGTGTCTTAAAACAATGAAGCATTTTTTTAAATAGCAGCTTTACTAAGATGTAATTCACATACCATAAATTCAGTCTTTTAAACAGTACTGTTCAGGTTTTTAGTATATTCACAAGGTTGTGCAACTGTCATCACTATCTAATTCCAGAACATTTCATCACCCTGAAAAGAAACCTCAAATTCATTAGCAGTCTCTTCCCGTTTCCCCCGTCCCGTAGCCCCTGGAAACCATGAATCCACTTTGTCTCTATAGATTTGCTATTCTGACATTTCATATGAATGGAATCATATAATATGTGGCCTTTGTGTCTGGCTTCTTTCACTTAGCATAATGTTTTCAAGGTTCATCCATTTTGTAACATGTGTCAGTACAGTTCGCCGCCCAGAATCCATGGGTTCCACATCCTTGGATTCAACCAACTGCAGACGGAAAATATTAAAAAACAAAAATTCCATAAAGTTCCCAGAAGCAAAACTTGAATTTTCTGTGCACCAGCAACTATTTACATAACATTTACCTTGTATTAGGAATTATAAGTAATCTAGAGATGATTTAAAGTATTTGGGAGGATGTGTGTAGGTTATATGCAAATACTACACTGTTTTATGTAAGGGACTTGAGCATCTGTGGATTCTGGTATCCAAGGGGGGTCCTGGAACCAATCTGGATACCAGGTGACAACTGTACATCATTCCCTTTTATGGGCTGATAAATCCATTGTATGGATATATCACATTTTATTTATCCATTCATCAGTTGGTGGACATTTAGGTTGATAACATTTTGGGGTTATTATGAATAATGCTGCTGTGAACATCTGTGTACTTGTTATGTGTACATATGTGTTCAATTCTCTTGAGTATATATGTAGGAGTGGAATTGCTGGGTCATATGGTAACTCTATGCTTAACATTCTGAGGAGCTGCCAGACTGTTTTCCAAAGAGGTCGCACCATCTTACCATCCAATCAGCGATGTACAAGGGTTTCAATTTCTCCATGTACTTACCAACACTTTATATCACATTTTTTGTTGTCACCATTGATTCTTTTAGACATCCTAGCGGGCATGAAGTGGTAAAGATTTATTTTTCTTCTTGAACCACGTTTCTTGCCTTGGTGTCCCACTGTCAGTCAGTCAACCAACTGATCGGTCATCAATCAGTCAACACAGGATCCATTCCCTATATCCTGGCTATGTTCTCTGAAGGATACAAAGAAGGTTAACATCCCCCATTTTAGGATCTACTCTCTCTTTACAAAACACAGAGGAAAGTTAACTCAAAGCAATCTATGGTCAGTACCAGAATTCTTACTGGAGCATCTGGGGCCTTTTAGGGTCTGAGTTATGTCTGCCTCTCCAACCTCATCTCTCTCCACTTATTGACCACTGCTTCCTAGCTACACTGTTCTTGCCACATTTTTTTTTTTTTTTTTAATATTCTAAAGCTGTTTTCTGCCCCAGAGCCTTTGTCTTTGCTGTTCCTTCTCCTGGAGAGCTTCTCACCCAGCATCTACCATGTTACCGCATTCTCTTCCTTTGGTTTCAGCTTTAAGGTCACCTTCCCAGGGACACCCACCCCATCACCCAAGCCAAGGCTGGCTTGCTGTTCTACGTGCTCAGATCACCATCCACTTTTCCTTATTGCAGTAGGCATGGTGGGGAGTGGAGCTGTGAGGAGGTTCTGAAGCCAGGCTGCCTGGTTCCAGTTCTGCTTTTGATACTTACTAGCTGTGTAATCTTAGGCAAAATACTTGACTTCTATGGATATGACTGTAATAGAACCTAGCATATAAAGTCACTGAGAGGATTAAATAAAGTAGGTGATTTATGTTACTTAGAACTTGATTGGCATTCTCTAAATACCAGCCCTTACTATCACAATTATAAATTAAACATTTTTTTAATTGAAGTATATTTGATTTACAATGCTGTGTTTGTTTCTGGTGTACAGCAAAGTGATTCAGTTATACACACACACACACACACACACACACACACACATATGTATATATGTTCTTTTTCATATTCTTTTCCATTATAGTTTATTTAAAGATATTGAGTACAGTTCCCTGTGCTATACAATAGGACCTTACTGTTTACTTTTATTTTTTGTGGTACGCAGGCCTCTCACTGTTGTGGCCTCTCCCGTTGCGGAGCACAGGCTCCGGACGCGCAGGCTCAGCGGCCTATGACTCACGGGCCCAGCCGCTCTGCGGCATGTGGGATCCTCCCGGACCGGGTCACGAACCCGTGTCCCCTGCATCGTCACCTGCATCATCAGGCGGACTCTCAACCACTGCGCCACCAGGGAAGCCCCTGTTTACCTATTTTATATATAGTAGTTTGTATCTGCTAATCCCAAACTCCTAATTTATCCCCCTCGCCGCCGCTTTCCCCTTTGGTAACCATGAGTTTGTTTTCTACGTCTGTAAGTCTGTTTCTTTAAAATTTATTTATTTATGGCTGTGTGGGGTCTATGTTTCTGTGCGAGGGCTTTCTCTAGTTGCAGAGGGGGGTGGGCCGCCACTCTTCATCGCGGTGCTTGGGCCTCTCACTGCTGCGGCCTCTCCTGTTGCGGAGCACAGGCTCAGTAGTTGTGGCGCACGGGCTTTGTTACTCCACGGCATGTGGGATCTTCCCAGATCAGGGCTTGAACCCGTGTCCGCTGCATTGGCAGGCGGATTCTCAACCACTGTGCCACCAGAGAAGCCCCTGTAAGTCTGTTTCTTAAACAGTTATTTACATAGATTTGAAAAGAAGGCAACTATACTCCAATAAAAATTAATTAAAGAAGTATGCCAGCCACCCGGCAAAGCAACAATGGGAAGAAGCGAGAACAGGGGCTGCAGGAGCCAGCCTCCTCCCTCGCCCTAGTTTTCCCTGCTGAAGATGCAAGAAGCCCGAACTCCGGACTCTGCGCTGTCTTGCCTGCGAGACCCGCTCGCGTTCTGGGCTCTTCTCTTTCCCCGCAGCCATATCCGTTCCGGGTTTTGCGGCTCACCGCCCCTCCCTTCCCAGGCTGTAATCCACTTCCGCGTTTTGCTCGGTGCCCGGGGCGCCGGGGCGTGGAGGCGGTAATGCGCAAGCGCACAGGAGTCCGGCCGGGGGCTGAGCGCGCGGCCGGAAGGTTGCGGGTGAGGGAAGGGTCGGCCCCGGCGTGGGTGGCGGGCCCGGGGTGGGCTCGAGGCCCGGGTCGGAGTGGGCGGGGGTCTCGGTGAGGACCTCCGGGCTCCCAGGGCGCGCGGGGACCGGGCGGCCTGGGTCGGACAGCCGTGTGGGGCCGGAGGCGGACTCGGGCCGCCGTGACGCGGGCGCTGCGCGGGGCCGGGGTGGGCGGGAGGCGGCTCCTCCTCGTCGTGAACTCTCGGTGACCTTGGCTAAGTCACTCCAGCCCCCTGAGCCGGCGCCTCCGTCTGTAACGTGCGAATCACAAGCCCTGGCTTCCAGCTGGGGCGGTTTTGAGGCTCGGTGGCTGGACCCCCGAAGGGTACCAGGAGTAGAGGGCGGTTCCCCAGGGACCACCCCGGCCTCGGTGAGGGAGAGGGGTCTTCCTCGCATAGCATTGTTACAGATTTTGGGGAGGAGCTCTCACCTGTATATTTTTAAAACTCCAGAGCATTATGAAGTCGTTGCAAAACTTTTGCTTAACACAAACAAGAGACGTCAAGGGCTTCCTTGAGGCCCCCGTTAAGCAGCGGTTCCTGGGATAATCACGCTCCTGCTGGAGACGGCTCTGGGAAGCTTTCTTGAATGGGGTGCAGCCGTAGAGACCCTTAGCTTCAGAATTATTAGTATTTGTAATTCCTCTTGTTTACCAAAACCCGTCCCGCCCACGTAGGAAATTGGGGCGCTGGCCAAGCAAGTTTAGTATCTGCCTTGGTGAACATTGGAGTCCCTCGGCTTTGCAGTGGACCAAATTGTAGAGATTGAGGAAGGAGGTGGTGCTATAGCCTTTTTTGGTGGTGGAGTGGAATCTCAGGAACCCTCCCTACGTGGGCAAGGGTGTGTAGTGTGATGGATACTCAATGACGGATGCTAGAAGGTCACAAAAGTAAGAAGCCTGTTAGATGTTCTAAGTTGGAAGAAATTCTGAGCATTTGAATTGACTTAAACTGGAACTTTTCACTGCAGGTGACTAGCATGCAGGTACCCGTTCTCTGACTTGCTGCCCCTCATCTGACATGGCCCACCGCGGTGGGGAGAGGGACTTCCAGACGTCAGCGCGGCGCATGGGCACCTCGCTGCTCTTCCAGCTTTCGGTGCATGAGCGGGAGCTGGACCTGGTGTTTCTGGATCATAGCTATGCCAAGCCGTGGAGTGCCCACCCAGATGCCAGTAGTGCCCGCCCCACCCGCATGCTCTTTGTTACTCCCCGGAGGCAGCACGAAAGTACTATGTGAGTTTGGGCTTCTCTCCTAAGGGTGGCCATTGCCGTAACTGGGCAGTGATCAGATGGTTGGAGATGAGAGCGGATTTTACTGTGGGAGATTGTAATGGGGGGTGGGGCTTGGGTGTTTAATTCAGGCATCACTGTTAAACATCGTGAGGTTATCTGGCCTATATGTGGACACCTACATTCAAGACATCTAATGAGTTAGGAAAGCAAGATGTTCAAAGGAAAACAAACAACCTGTTGCACTTAGATAACAGGCCTTGTCTGGGAAGAGGAATTGAAGAGGATTGTCTCAACCGTGCAGAAAAAGACTGAAGAGTTGACTTTTAAAAATTGCCACCTAGGATTAGACTCATTCCTTTAGTCCAGTGATCTGGCTCCAACACTGCCAGCAATAACCTTTTTGTGGTAATTCAGTTTGCTTTTCGTGGCTTCACCTGGAAAGTTGAGGAGCATATGCCCAAGACCTTGCTTTCTCTCTTAGCTTGTTTCAGAACTGTCACCATGGGTTGATCTTAACCCTTCCTAGGTCTGGTTACATATTCAGCCCGCCTACATTATAGGGTAAGGACTTTTTAATAAATTTACTATGTAATATGTGATAGAATTACATTTGGCCTAAATAAACTCATTTAGCAGTTCTTTTGAGCTTTAAGGTGTTCTGATTACTGGTGTTTCAAGATTTGTTGGTATATTCTATTTTGATGCTGAAATCATGCCCTTAATAATTTTATAAACTTTTATTGGGAAGAGGTTTTTTTGTTTGTTTGTTTTAATCTGACCTGATGTTTAATCTTTCCTCTGGCACAGGTTTTAGGTTTGTTGGAGAATAGAGATCTCGTGTTTTGCTTTTTTAGATCCCCCAGTGAGCCTTAATGAGCTAGAAGTACCATGATGTGTGTGTTCAACACGTGTAGAATAGTGGTTTTTATTTCTTTTCCCAGTGAGGGCAGCATTTTGTTGGCCTGCTTTGAATGTATAGGGCATCGGATCTGTGACTTTAGGGAATAATCCAGCGTAATCCTGATGCTTCTGGCCCAGGGCATAACTGAAGAGCTCTTTTAAATAGAATTTGAGGTCTTTCTCTTAGTTATGTAATAGCTTCTTGATATTGAGACTCCTGTGTTCATATCTCATGATATTTTCTTAAAGTGAGATTTTGTGGATTTGGTCATTTCAGTACTCAGAAAATTATTTCCTTTCATAGACTGGCTCCACATATTGGTCCTGAAAGTGGGAATTTGGCATGTTTTAGGAACTCTTTTTAGGCCATTGGGTCCAGAATGTGGTTGCAATGGGGGTGTAAGTGGGAGCTAAGGGAGAAGTTGGCAGAGGCTGCCTCATGTAGGAATTTGATTCTAAGAGTTGGTAAGAAGTCATTGAAGGATTTTAAGCTAGAGATTGGATTTTTGTTTGAAAAGATCACTCTGAATTTTTGTTGAATAGATTATAGTGCAGGAGTGGAGTAGGTAAGACCTGCTAGGAGACCATTGCAGTGGTTGGGGCCAGAGATCATGAGCCTGATGGAGCAGGAATAGTACAGGTGGAGAAAAACGGTTGGCCTTGAGGTGTATTTTGTAGGTCCATCCAACATGCCTTGCTGTAGTGAATTGGAAAGAG